TGGCAATGTCATTACTCATTATCAGCATATCATCCACATATAAGCAAACAATGACTACGTGATTAGGAACATTTTAATGTACACATATTTATCACATTTATCACATTCATTTATTTTAAAATCATTTGACAACATTGTTTGGTCAAATTTTGCATGTCATTGTTTGGGTGCTTGTTTTAGTCCGTAAAGGGACTTAAAAAGTCTACATACCTTCTTTTCTTTACCTGGAACCACAAACACTTTAGTTTGTTTCATGTAAATTTCTTCCTCCAACTCTCCATTTAAGAAGGTTGTCTTAACATCCATTTGATGAATTTCAAGACCATAAACTATAGCTAACGCTACTAACGTTCATATGAACGTAATTCTTGTAACTGGAAAGTATGTATCAAAATAGTCAAGACCTTCTCTTTGTCTATACCCTTTGACCACAAGTCTTGCCTTATATTTGTCAATAGTGCCATCATCTTTCATTTTTCTCTTAAAGATCCATTTAGAACCCAACGATTTATTTCCAGGAGGAAGATCAACCAATTCCCATATATGGTTGTTCAATATGGATTCTATTTTACTACTGATTGCCTCTTTCCAAAATAATGATTCCGAAGAAGACATAGCTTTTTTAAATGTTTGAGGCTCATTCTCCAATAAGAAAGTCACAAAATCTGGTCCAAATGAAGTAGACGTTCTTTGACGTTTACTACGTCTTGGATCCTCCTGATTAAATGTATTTTCTTTTGCGAGGTCGTTCAGATCCTTCACCAATCGACTCGCATTCCTTTTTATACGAATATATATTTTCAAAGAACTCAGCATTATCTGAGTCTATAACCGTATTATTATGAATGTCAGGATTTTCTGATTTATGAACTAGAAATTGATATGCTTTACTATTTCTCTCATATCCTATGAAAACAAAATCAACGGTTTTCGGTCCTATTTTTACCCTTTTGGGTTTAGGAACTTGCACTTTTGCCAAACACCCCCACACTTTAAAATAATTCAAGTTGGGCTTCCTTCCTTTCCATTTTTCATAAGGAATGGATCGTGTTTTGCTATGGGGTACTCGATTTAGCATACGGTTAGCCGTAAGAACGGCTTCCCCCCACAAGTTCTGTGGCAAACCAGAACTTATCAATAGTGCGTTCATCATCTCCTTTAATGAATGATTCTTTCTTTCTACAATCCCATTGGATTGGGGCGTGTAAGGGGCCGTTGTTTGATGAATAATTCCATATTCTAAACATATTTGTTCAAAAGGAGATTCATATTCACCACCCCTATCACTTCTTATCATTTTAATTTTCTTGTTAAGTTGCGTTTCAACTTCATTTTTGTATTGCTTGAATGCGTCTATTGCTTCATCTTTACTATTAAGTAAGTAAATATAGCAATATCGTGTACTATCGTCAATAACAGTTATGAAATACTTCTTTCCACCCCGAGATGGTATTGACTTCATATTGCAAATATCTGTGTGAATTAAGTCTAAAGGATCTGAACTCCTTTCAACTGACTTATAAGGATGTTTAACATACTTAGATTCTACACATATTTGACATTTTGACTTATCGCATTCAAACTTAGGCAATACTTCCAAGTTAACCATTTTTCGCAAGGTTTTATAATTGACATGACCCAAACGTATATGCCATAATTCATTTGACTCAAGTAAGTAAGACGAAGCTGAAATTTTATTATTATTTTCACAACCATTACATTCAGCTTGAAAAGGCCCTCGGTAAGGTAACCTTTTCCTACAAATATCTCGTTCTTACTTATTACAACCTTATCGGATACAAATACACATTTAAAACCATTCTTAACAAAAAGTCCAGCAGAGACTAAATTCATCCTAATCTCGGGAACATGAAGGATGTTGTTCAAAGTCACCACTTTGCGGGAAGTCATTTTGAGAAATATCTTCCTACATCCTTCAATCTTGGCCTTTGCAGCATTTCCCATAGAAAGCGTCTCATCGGGTCCAATAGGAACATAAGTAGCAAAAGCTTCTCTAACAGCACAAACATGGCGAGTGGCTCCAGAATCAATCCACCACTCTTTAGGATTGCCCACCAAGTTGCATTCGGAAAGCATGGCACACAAGTCATCAACATCATCATGCTTTTCAACCATATTTGATTGACCCTTCTTCTTGTCTTTCTTCGGAGCACGACACTCCGTAGATTTGTGTCCGGCTTTTTCACAGTTGTAGCAATTTCCACTGAACCGCTTCTTGCTTGGGTTGTATTTCGGTCTAGAAGCCTTCTTCCTCTTTTTGTTCTCTTCAACAATATGTGTTCCCATTATTTTTGAGTTTCCACGGCCTCTCTTGTTAGCAGCTTTATTGTCCTCTTCGATTCTCAACTGAACAATGAGATCTTCAAGGGACATCTCCTTGCGTTTGTGTTTCAAATAATTTTTGAAGTCCTTCCACAACGGAGGCAACTTCTCAATCATTGCTGCTACTTGGAATGCTTCATTGATGACAAGATCTTCAATGAAAATTCTGTTAGTAAGCATAATAAAATTAATACTACCAACACTAATACTAATTCTACTTATACCTTCAGCAAGGAGATCGTGAATAATCACTTGCAATTCCTTGACTTGGGTAATAACAGACTTGCTATCTACCATTTTATAGTCCAAAAACTTTGCAGCAATGAACTTCTTCAACCCGACATCTTCAGTTTTGTATTTCTTTTCAAGCGCAATCCACAGTTCTTTTGACATTTTCACGCCACTGTAGACATTATACAAAGCATCCTCTATCCCGCACAAAAAATCTGAATGCTTCCACGCCTCAATCATGAGAAAGCGTTCAGTCTCTGGAGTTTCATCGGACAGCACAGGAACATCTTCCTTGATGAACGTCTGGAGACTTAGAGTAGTCAAGTAGAAGAACATCTTTTGCTGCCAGCGCTTGAAATCAATCCCGGAAAATTTTCCTGGTTTCTCCGCCGGTGCCAATGCTGCCGGTGTTGTTCGGCTCGTTAAGGCACTGCAGTTACCGTCGGAACAGCTTGGTTACCGTTGTCATTCGTCATTTCTCTAAAAGAATGACACAAACGTTAAAATCACGTAGATTTTTATCCCAAATAGAGTACAAAACCACAAAGGTTTTACTCTCCAGAAATAGTGAGTATAACACAAATACAGAAAATATATTAAATTCCTTAAGCTTGTTAGTAATCTGTATTTGTAAAATAATTCTGGAGAAAATAAAATAACATAAACAGAAATGTAAATGAAAAAAAACCAATTCGAGCCCACTGAATTCACAGTGTTTCCTTAAGGAATATAATCCCCTCCTAGTACCCAAGGTTATGGATTATTTCCTCCTATGATAGAACGAATTACACACTGGTGTAGTGGTACTTCAAACTCCAGTGTTTCAGCGAACACAAAGTTCGGTAGCAAATCACACTTACCGTTGCTTTCTTTGAAGTTAAAATATGCAGAAGAAAGGAGAAGAACTCAGAAAATTCGTATGAAAAATCTGAGAGAATGGACTTGTATTTATAGCCAAAGTTGGGCTGAAATCTGAAGAGGTGCAACTCTTCAGAATGGTTGTTTTTGCAAAACGGCCAAAGAATAAATGCCATAACATAAATGGCTATTTACTCAACAATAAAGAGGGAAAATTGAAGGGTAGTTAATTTTCTGTTACAAAAACAGAAAACTGAAAATTGGATAACTGAATTGGATTTAATATTAATATTCTGTTATTAAACCTTTCTGTCAATATTTACTATTAACAAATAAATTTGGTCCAAAAATTAATCAATCGATCATTTGACCGAAGCCGAAGCCGAAGTCGAGCGAGCGACGACGACGATGGCGCGAGGCTTGCCTTCTTTTCAACTCTTTATGAGCTAGAAGAAGAGCAATTGCTTATATACCCATCGAAAATCTTCTCCTCTTCCCATATGGGACAATTAAGGAGGGAAACTAAAATATTTTATTTTTCCTTCCATTTCCCATTCACCCTATTTTAAGCATTCATAGCTTAAAAACCCAACATGCAGTTCAAACAAAACACTTTTAATGAGTTGAATTCTGCCTCCATAAGATAGAAGTCTAGTAGTCCAGCATTTTACTTTTGCTACAATTTTGTCAACAAGTAACATGCATTGACTAATGGTGAGTAGTGGCACTCCTAGATAATTGAAAGGCATCACTCCAAGTGAGAAGTGCAGTTCTATCAGTAGTTCATCAAAATTAGTGGAAACCCCATCAATGTATAGTGAAGCTCTTTTCCATATTGGCCTTAACTCCTGATAGTTTAGCGAAATGCTCAAAACAACTTAACATTAGTTTGATAGCAAAGCAGATATGAATTGAATTCATCTTTGCACATTTAGAGTTATAGTTGAAGTCTAGGTTCAGTTTAAGCTGCTTCAAGGATCTATTAAGGTAGTCCATAGCCAATACAAAGAGGTAAGGGGACATGAGATCTCCTTACCTTAATCCTTTTCTTGCTTGGAACATAGAGGTCAAACCACCATTAAGCAACACAGAATAGTTCACTGTGGTTACACACACCATAATCAACTCTCCAAATTTATATGATAATCCCAGTTCTAGTAGCAACATATTCAGGAAGGGCCACTCAACAGGCTCATAGGCCTTCCTAATATCTACCTTGATAATGGACCTGGGGATACCCCTTTCTGTGTGTATTCTTTAACTAACTCATGCGCCACAATTATACTGTCTAGTATGTTTCGCCTTCCTATAAATGCAGACAATGAAGGACCAACCAGAAGATCTACCGCTATCTTTAACTTTGATGTGAAGGTCTTAGCTATGAGTTTGTACACAGTGGTACATCAGGCAATAGGTCTAAACTCCTTGACATAGGTGGAATTGTTCACTTTAGGAACTAATGACAGAGTTGTACAGCTTATATCTTTGAGTAGCTAGCCATTTTCAAAGAACTGAATAACTATATTTGATATATCATCACCAATTATATGTCAAAATTCCTTGAAGAATTAAGTAGTGTATCTATCAATACCAGGTGCTTTATCATCAGGAAGGTCCTTGAGAGCTTGCATACCATCATCTGTAGTTACATGCTTCAAAAGTTGTTGTTAAGTAAGATCAGTCCATCTATGATGATAAACATGAGTATCCCTCTCATCTGCAATGAATTGAGGATTAAGAAAATGCTCATTCAGGTCCTCCTACAATTCCTTGAGTTTCCCTCTCATATTATTCAGATTACTTTCCAGTGAGAAATATTTCTTGTTTAACACTTTTGTTTTATCCTCTAGTAGTTTCAATCTTTTCGATACCACGTATATTTGGTTCTCTGTTACCTCTTGTTCCCATGTTCCATTAACTAAATCTCTGAAGTCTTGTTGTTGCACTACTGTTGCAGCAATACATTCAATAGCATGAAGGGCCTGTTGGAAAAAAAAATAATTTGGGAGAGCAAGACAACAAAACACTCAAACACTCACAACTCACTTTAAGAATGGAGAAGAAATGATATTTTTCATTCAACTTGACTTGTTCCAAATGGCTAGCATACATGGGTATTTATAGTAGAACTCCTACATGTATCTAGCCTAAACTTCATGTAAACACACTAACTAAATTCACATTAGTCTACACTAGTTCATACATCTCATAATGAAGTTCACATTAGTCTACACTAGTTCATACATATAATGAAGTTCACATTAGTTTACACTTGTTCATACATCTCATACTAATATGAACTAATCTAAACATATTTAATATAAATGTGAACTAATGGAAACAAGTTTATTATAATTTTAACAGTGCCGTCGTCTCGGTCTCATTGTGGTGAAATATCTCGGTAGTGTCATTGTGTTGAATAGGAAGCGCCTTCGTCTTGGTAGTGTCATTGTGTTGAATAGGAAGTGCCTTCGTCTGGGTCTCATTGTGGTGAACATGACATATCTCAGTATTGTCGGGGAGAGTTCCATGAAGTGCGAGGAAAAGGCCAGATAACAAAAGTATAAAACGGCCAAAGAGCTTCCAAAAGTTTTGAGCATCCATGGCAGCAGCTAGAGAGAAGAAGAAGAGAGAGAACCTGAGAAATAGTGAGAGAGAAAATGCAGGTGGAGAGAACCTGAGAAGCAGTGAGAGAGAAAAAGAAAGAGAAGAGGTGAGAGTGATGTAAAGTGAGAGAAACAATGTGTAAGTGTGTGTGATAAGACACCCCCAATCGGGTTCGGAGAGAAATTTGTCTTCACTTTAATCTTCGAAATTTTACTTCATTTTTTTATGAAGACTTTTGAAAATATATATATAAAAAAAATTAATAACAAAATAATTAAAAATACAAAAATAGTTTTACTTAGTCTTATTTTATATTTAAGCTAAGATCATTGAAATTCTTGTAGTAATACTATTTTAGTTTACTATGGTTTTAACTTATGTTTATCTACTTTTATAATATTTGAAAATACCAAAAAAAAAAGGTTTTACTTTAACCAATTAAGAGTGATTTTATGTTTTACAAGTATTTTATACTAATTTTGAAGAAATTTGGATTTATTAATGAAATTTGGAATTTTTGTCTCCTATAGCAAAGGTTGATATCTTATTTATTTTAAATAAATAGCCTTTTAAAAAATTATATTCCATAGCTACCTTTTGATTTTTATAGCCAAATATCTATTTATGGTCACCTCCTATCCTTAATCGATAAAATACACTTTGTTTATTTTTCTCTCTCATTCTTTCAGATTTTTTTCCACCCTCTCTCTCTCAACGCTTTGTATAATAGGTAACGAGTTCTCTCCTGCTCCGTGAAGGAAATTTAATAGCAAGTTGGTTCCAGAAATTCCTGCCTAGTTGTGACGACCCAAAGGGTCATCCCGGATTTCTCTCTTTTTCCACGCTTCCGAGGCCTTAAAAACCTCACTATTACTTGCCTCGATTTGCGTGCGCAGTCTGGGTGTGTAGCTGGAAGGCTTAAATATGAATTCTGTGTGAAAAATGATGAATTTTGATATTAATTTGATTAAAGTTGACTTCGATCAACATTTTTGGTAAACGGACCCGGACCCGTGATTTGACGGTCCCGGAGGGTCCGTAGAAAACTATGGGACACGGGCATGTGCCCGGAGTCGAAATCCGAGGTCTAGAACTTGAGGAAAAGAATTTTTCAGTGAAATTACTTTTCTGGAATTTATAAGGAAAAATGGAAATGAAAATTGATTAAAAGACTATGGCATCGGGCTCGTATTTTGGTTCCAACGCCTGGTACAAGTCTTAAATACGTGTTAAGCGCTTTCTGTAAAGTTTGGTCGAAATCGGACATCATTTGACGTGTTGCGGACCTAAATATCTAAAGTTGGAAGTTTATGAAGTTTGAAATGAAAATGTTGATTTTGAGGCTTGATTCATTGATGTTGATGTTATTTTGGCGATTTGATCGCACGAGTAAGTCCGTAGGATGTTTTTGAGGTTGTGTGCATGTTTGGTTTGGAGCCCCGAGGGCTCGGGTGAGATTTGAATAGGCCGCGGGTTGCATTTTTGAACTTTGGAAAAAAAATTGCAGGTCAGGTCTGGTATTTTCGCATTTGCGAAAGATTTCTCGCAAATGCGAGACTCGCAATTGCGGATCCTCCATCACAAATGCGAAAAGGGGAAATCTTTGCTTGGGTTGCAAATGCGACAATTTGTTCGCATATGCGAGGGCCGCCCAGTCGCAATTGCGACGCCTTTCTTCCCAAATGCGAAGTCTGCTCGGAGGCTCGTTGTTCGCAAATGCGAACTATTCTTCGCAATTCCATACATAGCAGGGTCGGGGTTCGCAATTGCGAATCCAGTTTCGCAATTCCCATACCTGAGGCTCAGTTATTTCATGCTTAGACGAATTTTAAACCCATTTTCTTCATTCTTTCAAAACACAAACTCCATAGGCGATTTTTCAAGCACAAACCTTCTTCCAAATCAATTGTAAGTCAACTTTTACTTAATTTCTTCAATCTCTAACATCATTAAACATGTTTTTATCTTAAAATCAAGGATTTCCATGGGTGAAAATGGGGATTTTGGGTAGAACTAGGTTTCTAAAATTGGGATTTGGACTTCAATTTGAGGTCTGATTTCAAACAANTTTCCAAAGATACATCCTTCGCAAAATTGGTTGGGATGATTAATACTTGGCAATCCATTCACCATGTTTTCTTTATCCATCAACCTTAAGCTATCAAAATTCAAGTGACCAAATCTCATATGCCAAAGCCAAGAGGAGTCTTTGGCACATGAAAGTAAGCATCTTGGAGCATCATTTTGAAGATTTAAAATGAACATTTTATTATTAGCCATAGGAACTTTAGCTAATAATCTCCCTTTTTCATCTCTCACAAACAACTTTTTATCTTTCAAATGAATGTCATAATTTTCCTCCAAAAGTTGTCCCAAACTCAAAATGTTACTTTTCATCTCCGGCACATATAAAACATTAGAAATTAATTGATGACTTCCATCCTTCAAGCGAATTAAAATCGTACCTTTTCCTTTGATTTTAACACGTGAAGAATCTCCAAAAGTGATTGTGCCACGATTCAACTCTTCAAGTTCCACAAATAAATCCTTCTTTCCACAAATATGGCTACTTGCACCGGAATCAAGGTACCATCGGTGCTTCTCGGCACTTTCTTCTCCTTTGCATGCAAGAAGCAAGGTGGCATCTTCATCTTCATTTTTGCTCTCCACGAAATTATTTTTCTCTTCAAAGTTATCTTTACATTCCCAAGAAAAATGACCAAATTTATGACAAGTATAACATTCAATATTTGATTTGTCATACCTTCCTTGATTTTGCCTCCATCCTTTCCCTCTTCCACGACCTCTTCTTGAATTAAAGTCTTGGCCTTTATTTTCTCTACTTGAAGGTGGTTGACTACCTCCTCTTCCGCCTCTACCACGACCTCTTCCATTTCCACGGCCTCTTTGTTGCGAGCCACGCCTTTCATCTTTCTCTTTGAAAGAAAATTTTGCTTGCAACGCTTGTTCAACCGATTCTTCTTTCGGTTTCATCAACTTCTCTTCATGTGCTTGCAAGGAACTCGAAAGCTCGTCTATGGTCATGGTGTCCAAGTCTTTGGACTCTTCAATGGCAACAACAATAAAATCAAATTTTGAAATTAAGGATCGTAGTATTTTTGCCACAACCCTATCGTCTTTCAACTCTTCACCATATCTTTTCATTTGATTGACAATAGCCAAAACTCTCGAAATATAATCCACAACATATTCATTTTCCTTCATATGCAATGATTCAAACTCTCCTCTTAAGGTTTGGAGGCGAACTTTTTTCACTTTGTCCAAACCTTTAAAAGAAGTTTGAAGAATATCCCATGCTTCCTTGGAGGTTGTTGCATTTGCAACCTTCTCGAACATCTTGTCATTCAAACCTTGATGGATGAGAGTGAGTGCCTTTTGATCCTTCTTCTTTGAGGCAACGACATCTTCTGCTTCATCAACACCGGACTCTACTGGTTCCCAAACATCATAGGCACCAAGCAAGGCCTTCATTCGAATACACCAATTTCCATAGTTCTCTTTTGTAAGCATAGGAACTTGGAATGGTGTTCCGTTAGAATTCGTCATCTTTTCTCCAAGTTTGTTGTCTTCAACCACACCGGCTCTGATACCAAATGTTGGAAAAAAAAAAATTGGGAGAGCAAGACAACAAAACACTCAAACACTCACAACTCATTTTAAGAATGGAGAAGAAATGATATTTTTCATTCAACTTGACTTGTTCCAAATGGCTAGCATACATGGGTATTTATAGTAGAACTCCTACATGTATCTAGCCTAAACTTCATGTAAACACACTAACTAAATTCACATTAGTCTACACTAGTTCATACATCTCATAATGAAGTTCACATTAGTCTACACTAGTTCATACATATAATGAAGTTCACATTAGTCTACACTTGTTCATATATCTCATACTAATATGAACTAATCTAAATATATTTAATATAAATGTGAACTAATGGAAACAAGTTTATTATAATTTTAACAGGGCCTTCTCAATGTAGCCTTAGCAGTTCCAGTATTCAACAACACAGGTGAGTGGCCTGAGCCGCCAAGTAAGATATAGCCTGTCTCAATATTGATATAATTATAGAACTAGTGACCATTCCCAAAAGTCCAATCTATATTGCTATAGATTCTGTCTCCAGCTCCCCTTTTGTTGCACCAGGAGTATTGGCATCCTCCCCTAGTGATCTTCCCTATTCCCAAGTCCTCTATACATTGCTGGAAGTCAGCCACCTCCATTGATTGGACAGGTACCCCATTCAGTCTATCATCCACTGATAGCAAAATATTAAAATCTCCTACTATCACCGAAGGTTTATTCACTGTACTATCAATATTCGTAGGTTGATTTGCAATTCTATGGAGACCATACACAACAATCATCAAACAAGAAAATGAGGAATTCTCGTCATTAATCTTGCAATGGATTAACTGAGTTGTCTCCAACATTACTGAGACATTGACATTAGGATTTCTCCATCCTATCCAAATCCCCTCATTTGGTGAACTTGCATAGTTTGAGAAAAAAGATATCATTCTTCTCCTAGTTTCTTTTGATCATATCAGCATTTGGTAGTTTGACTATACTATCCAAACATCCAATAATATCTGCTTTAATTTTTTTTCAGAAAGGATTTTAATTCCTTCTGCTTAAAGAACTTATTTAGCCTTCTAATATTTCAAGAACAAATGATCATGAGTGAAGATATCTTTGAATGTAATGTCCTTTATATTTGAACAAATCAGAGCTCTAGCATATGACACCCTTTCACAATTAGCTGTTAGTTTATCGGTACATAACAGTTTTCCCAGAAAACTAGCGATTCTTCCTAAATTCTCCTCAGTCCAATAAAGTAAGGGTAAACTGCGGAAGGCAATCTCTTATTTTACCTTTATATTTTCGAATATTTCATTATTTTATTAATTTCTATATAGATAACATTATATTATTTTTTTGTCATCGTCATTGTGGTTGTTTTTGTTATTTCTAGAAATTGAATGGTGTCAATCAATTTCATAAATTATGTACCTAATTTTTAAATATTTTGCTGAATCATTTAGTATCAAGGAAAAAAGTAGCAAAATGGCCAACTAAAAATTCAACCTTTCCCATTAAAGATGACACAACTATTATTTTAACAACCAAAGATTTCTCTTTAACTATGATCTTTAGACACTCTAAAATATTTTAATGTATTGAAAGTTTGAGCTTTTTATATGATTTACAAATATATATATTATTTGATTTTTTTTTTTAAATTTCTTAAGTTTATGGAAAAAAAAAAACCTGTTCACTTTTATACTTTTTTCTATGACCTTGTATAAACCAAATTGGAAGGAGAAGATAAATGTTAGCGCCTTTTCGGTATAATATTATTTTCTATGATAAAGTAAATGAGAAGGCGTCAAGAAGCGCAAGTTAGATGGGATGGTACAGGATAAGGTAATAAACAGCTCAACATATTCTCACAGCATTTAATGTTTAGTTAAACGCCGAACCAAAACGAATGGTGCGTTTCGGACATGTCCGCACATGCCTATAATGTCACAAAAACCAACATTTATACTAATAAAAACAAAATATCCTCCATTTTTCTATCTCCTTCGTCTTCCTCCCCTTTTTTTTCTAATTTTGCGGAAAACAACTCATACAAGAAATAAACCCAAATGCAACGGTAAATGGACGTTTTGAAGGAGGATTTAAAATAAGAGGTTAGATTGATTGATTGATTAATTTGGGTACTTAGTGGTTCTTTTTCATTGGATCGTTTATTTGATTATATTTGATTTAGGTGGTTATTGTTTGTTTTGTATAGGAAATGAATTAACGGACAATGGAGGAGTAAATGGCTATATTTTGTTTTTTGGAATTATTAAGGAGGTAATTATTTCTATCTGATTTGTTAGGGGACCGAACAATGTTGTCCAAGGGTGAACATCAAACGGTCCCATTGTCTGTATTGCTGAAAAGGGAATTGGCCAATGAGAAGATTGAAATGCCCGAGATTTGTCACGGTCAAGCTAGTCAGAGCAAGAAAGGGGAAGACTTCACCTTCCTCAAGACCGAATGCCAGCGGGTTTTGGGAGATGGAGTTACTACCTTTTCTGTTTTTGGGGTAGGATTTGATGTTTCTATCTTATGTTTTTAAGAAATGTGTCCTTTATCGATGCCTTTTCATAATAAATTATCTTATTGGATCGTAGCTACCTTTAGCGAAGGGGTTCAATCGAATCCTCTTTGTCGGAAAATTACACTGCACAAAAAGAGTAAAAATATATGATTTCTGCACATATATAAGTCGTTGAATCCCCTTGACATAGGTTCAAATCTTAGGCGTGACATTCTTACATTTTTTTGAATCCCCTTATTCAAATTCCTAGCTCCACCACTAGGTTGTGGATATCACAGTGTCTTTTATATGTTCATGATATCTTTTGTATGTTAATGCTATATTCCTTCTTATCCTTGTTTTTGGATAAGAATTTGTCATATCGAATCATAGATTTCTTGCTGATCTGATAAGTTCTGTAGTATCCTATATGGTTGAGAAAGATGATCATGGTGCCAACTTTGGACATTTTTGCCTTGATCTTACTTTGACATGTTTTCCGTGTAGAATCAATAGTATCTCAAGTGGGAGAAGTCCTTTATTTTTCTTTTTAAGATTGTTGGCCAGGAATCCACTAATTCTTGTGAATGAAGCATTTTTTTGTTATGGTTTCACCTGAAAAGTTTGCATGTTTGACCAAAAATTCTTTCTCGGCAAATTGTTGAACATCGGTAGTTGCACTTCCCTTTTTTGTTTTTATATGATTGCGGTCATGTAATTTGTATTTCATTCCTTTTGTAGTTATTTGATGGGCACAATGGGTCAGCAGCTGCTATATATTCTAAAGAGAATCTCTTGCAGAATGTCTTGAGTGCTATTCCCTCAGACCTCAACAGAGATGAGTGGGTTGCAGCATTGCCTAGGGCTTTGGTTGCAGGATTCGTCAAGACAGACAAAGAATTCCAAGAAAAAGGTATTAGTTGTTTCTATATGGAAGAAAACTAATATAAGCATGCTGTGAAAACCTATCATAGAGTTGCCATGAAAATGTAAATGATACAAGAAACTTTGTAGCTACGGTTATTCTATTCTTCATGTTTTAGATATGATACAAAAATCATGTAAACCTCTTCACTATTGCTTGTAAACAATTTGTTTTTCTTATATAATTTAATTAAGAGAAATCAGTACTTTTTTCCCGTAATAGTTTGAATATACTTGTGTAATCTTGCAGCACAGAAATCAGGGACAACAGTCACGTTCGTTATAATTGAAGGATGGGTTGTAACAGTTGCATCAGTTGGCGATTCTCGATGTATATTAGAATCTGCTGAAGGGGGAATTTATTATCTATCAGCTGATCATAGACTAGAGTGCAATGAAGAGGAGTGAGATGCTTTTTATGACTTTAACTAATTAATTAATATGGGTTTGCCTCTTGAATAACATTTTAATAGTTTATGTTGAATTGAATAGGAGGGAACGCATAACAGCAAGTGGTGGAGAGGTTGGTCGGCTTAATACTGGCGGTGGAACACAGGTATCTTTTTGTTTAGCAGTTACCAATTTCCTTCTTTTGCACACTCAATACTTTTATCATGAAGTGTGGTAATTAATGGGAATGTAGCTGCATGCTGCATAACAACTTATGCGTCATTTCTTTTCTTGGCATGTCATAATTTCCCTTTATATTCTTTCACTTTTCTATTTTGGGCTTTTATTTCTTTTCTTGAGGAAAGTTTGTCTTACCTAGTGATCCAAATTCTTCAGATCGGTCCTTTGAGATGTTGGCCTGGTGGGTTATGCCTCTCTCGATCCATTGGAGATATGGATGTTGGCGAGTTCATTGTTCCTGTACCCTATGTAAAGCAAGTAAAGGTTTGTCTACCATGTGTTAGCTTCCTCTTTGCATTTCTGTTTTGGGTCCATTGCTCAAGTGCATATGTCCTTTGTGTATTTGCAACCACATATTTCAGCTTGCAAACTTTAAAGCATTCAATTGTGAAGACTCCAATCCACACCCACTTATGATTGATCTACATCAAGTTTGGGAAGATGAAACTGCGTTTAAAAAATTCAAAGATTGAAGCCGTGCTGTAAATCAAAGTATTTCTTGATGGGAAGTTGGAATCTTGTAAATGCCTTCCCTAGATCTCTGCTTTCTTCACGGTGGAGTGGAGTCTTGTCACGATTCATTTTCTCTTTTCATCTTTCCTGGAAATAATTTCCATTACTGCAATTTTGGCGACCCTTTTGCTTTGGATGCTTCTTTGACAAAACTTAGTGCTTATTAAAGTATCTAATCCAGTCATGATATCTTCAAATTTGAGGAAGTACAGCAGTTCCAGATTATAAAAAATTTCCTTGTATCTTTGTGAACCTCTTGCATTTTAGTGCAAGTGATAGCCTGCGATTGATAGTCCAATCATGATATGCCTTTTCAAGAAGTCAATGTATGGGTAGATGGAGCTGGAATTGATTGTATCCAGGGTTGCTGGACGTAAC